AAAGCCATGTTAAACATGCTATGATATCACAAACAAAAGCCTCTGTTCATAGCAATTTATTAGAATTTCCCCAGAGTCCTGCTGATACAGCATCTGTTGATACAAATTAAAATCATTCTATGATGAATTATTGTGAATTTGCAGATAGGATTCTCAGTAGCTGAAATGCCCATTGATTCCTAAAGTTCATGCAGGCATGGAGGACATATGACAGGCCCAGCAAGAAGTTATCTTGAGGGAGGATGGGGGGAAAAAAGACAAAGACTTTGAACACCACAGTCCCTGGGAACTATGAAATGACAGCTCATACCCAAAAAAGTCACTGGCAGGAAGAAAGCTTTTAGCTTAGTTAAGGGGACTTTAGGTGTGACTTTCTGCTTTGCAGTGCCATTCACAGAGAGAAAAACAAGGGAAGAGGGTGAGCTGGGTAAAGTAAGCAACAAACACCATGTCGGGGCGTTTGTGCTCCCCACAGCACAAGACACTGATGTTTCCACAGCAGCCCTGCAATGCACCATCCACATCTACAGAGAAAATGGTGCTCCTTCTGCAGCCTTGTATCCAGCTTCTCTCATCTGCTGCCCAGGACAGCTACCAAACTTCCTAGTGAGTGTGATTTCATTCTGGTGAAAGCAGGACTGATACACCTCTAAACCTAAGTCAAGAAAAATGCAGAGAGCAGGAAAAAAAACAAACCCCAAATCCATTACTCCTGTTTTGAGACAACCTGGTCTGTTCTGGCATACCTTTTCACACTGGCAATTAAGACAGGAGCTCAGCAGCTTTCTGAAGGCAGCACCAATCAGTGCTGTGCGCCAGCACTGCTGTGCCTTGGCATCCTTCTGTAAAATACTGACCAAGTCCTCAGCCTGCTTTGAGCAGGACACTGGAATACAGACTTCACAAAGTCCCCTTCAATTCAAATGATTCCGGAATTTAGAAACATCAGGAAGGAATTCAGTGGCTGGTTCACACACAAGGATTCAACACATGGAGCATTATTTGTACCAAGCCATTATGACATTTTGGAACAGTTAATGTTGTCATTTTTATCAACCAAGATATGATTAAACCAGTGCATTTTAAATTCAAGGTGATAACATCCTACAGCACTAAAAACACAAGTTTGACTGTGCAAGTGTATCTGTGCACAGTGGCACACCACTCACACAATTTACTTGCATAGGTCAGCACCCTTGATGTGAGGACCAAGAAAAAACATAAACCTAAGCATACCACTTACCCACAAAGAAGTCTCTTTTTCTGTCAAGTAGCTGAATTCACAAAACTATTTGTGAGGACTTGTCTTCTGAACATCTGAAAAGCCTTCTCCGGACTGTTTTATTATCTTCTATTTTCTGCTTTTGAATGACCACCTCATGATTATGTAACTGCAAGAACACTGCCTGCAAGCTCTTTAAGAAGGAGCTTTATTTGTACTCCTTAGAAGATTGCATTATAACTCTTATACTGAGCACTTCTGAGGTTAAGCTTCCACAGGGTGGACCACCAGGCCAAAACCAGGCAGTCTAGAACTTACACTGACAATGGTCTTTATTCCCTTGATTGCAAGACACAATGCCATTTGTTTGATTGAGGCGAGGTCTTCATACTTGAAGCAAAATGAAGCCTTATCTTTTACTCACATCCTGGCAGCTAGAGAACAGAGAAACAAACTCTAAGAATCAAAAAGTGACACCAGAAAAGGTGGGCTAAATACCACAAATTTCCAGCTGACAAGAAGTGAAAAGGGCTGTTTATTTACAGAAGAATAAGGTACCTTCTGAGAATATTAACATAATGTGAAAATGGGGACAACTTTACTACTGTAAGTACCAAATAGTAGGTAAGTGATCTCTCTAATGGGAAAAAAAAATCATCAAAACCATCCTAGGAAGGAAACCTGCCTCATGCTTGTAGAAATGGGAACAACGTTTTTTTCTTTCTCATCACATCACCTCTCCTCCACAGGTAACTTTGTACAAGGACTCTGATGGAGAAGACTTTGGGTTCAGTGTCTCAGATGGTTTATTGGAAAAAGGAGTGTATGTTAAAAACATTAGACCAGCTGGCCCTGGTGATCTGGGAGGTTTAAAACCGTATGACAGACTTTTACAGGTAATATTTCTGGCATTGTGCAGGTTTATCATGAAGGGACATGACATACAGATTACTTTGTAAAAAGGTTTATAACCACACTGGGGGTATTTGGGTATGCATCTTTGGAGATGTGATTGTAGAAAACTGCAGTTTTGCAGTTTTGTTACTTGGAACAGCCCTGTAATCTACATTGCTTATTATATTTTAAATAATGAGCACCACTGTTTGTTTATATTTCTGCTGGGAAGGGATGTGTGTAGGAGGACCAGAAATGACAAACGACCATAATTGCTCTGCACCACAGGCTTTGCTGTGCAGATTTCTTAGATTTCTTTTCTTTGCAAGAAAAGGCAGCACTTCATGAAGCTCTGGACTTTTATGCAGTGGCACTAAAGCTGGATTTTTCTGTGCAGTCAGGTTTATAGAAACAAATTCTTTCAGAATGCTAGGTATTTTAGAACTCCAAAGGAGACATACAAATGCTCACTAGGAAGCTGGATTTCCAGACAGATTTTTCTTTTTTGCTTTTCTTGATACAGACCTGAGAATGATTTCTGTGTTTAATTCAAGTGTTGACTGACATAGTTGGAATAATGTAATACTCACTCAGCACCACACTTATCGCAGTGTCAAGTTGGACTATGATGAAAAAGCTAGCCTCAACTAGCCTCATAAAATACTTTATATAAATTTATATCTATTAGGTAAAACCAGAGAAGAACGGAAGTTTCAGATGTATTCTACTGCATTAAAATTGATGTAGACCATGAAAGACAGAAAAACTATGTGCTGTTAAATGTCATTATTGGAGTGAGAATTGTGAAAGCTGGCCAACAGCCAGCAACAGTGTAAATATCCCCACTTCAGATACATAATATTTAAAAGTGAGTAGAAGAGTTAACTGATGTCTTCAGATCAGACATCAGAGTTAGTCTTATATTGGGTGATTCTCTACTTCGAATAGTTAAATCAAGCTCCATGGTCTCAAGGATAAATTTGTTTCTCTTGTGATATTTTTTCCCTCAAATAGTAACAAAAATCAATCTTCTCATCAATCAGGTAAACCATGTTCGCACCAGAGACTTTGACTGCTGTTTGGTTGTGCCCCTCATCGCAGAATCTGGCAATAAGCTGGAACTGGTCATCAGCAGAAACCCACTGGCATCTCAGAAAGGAAGCTCAGAACAACACACTTCGGGGAGTGGTGAGTGGAGCGACCTGAATGCTGCCTTCCTTCAGCAGAGCGGACACACCAGTGTTAGTATTGAGACCCGGGATCCTACAAATACGTTATAGCAGAAACCACTGGAGCAGGACATTCAGTGACTAAAAGACATTATGGTGCTAAATTCATTCAAGATTTCTCTGAGATTGAGGCTTAGTTGCTGTACAGCACTGAAAAGCACAGGTCAGTTGGTCTGTCTCAAGGCTTCTATTAATCCATGGTTACTTTGGAAAGAGTTTCATTCTTCATTAAGTCAAGTCATTCAATTCTAAAACAATCTAGGGCCTTCTTTTTCCCCAAATAAGAAACTGGGGAGACGTTTTAAACACGATCTAAGTGTTCTTCTCCCTTTAGCAGCAGCAGCAGCTGCCTGAAGGAAAAACGCGGAGTTAATCTCTGCTAACAAACAGCAGTGTCCAGGTTACATGGTTTTTAAAGTCCTTTTATCAGGAAGGTGCTGCTGTCTAATGGACAATGCAGACTGGTTTACTGCACTGGGTTTTCCTGGGAAATGGCAACAACTCTGATTTTGGAAACCTTCATTTTCTGGTGAGAAGGGTGCACTCGTTAGACAAAGCAGGGTTTAGATGTTATAACAAAATGCTTGCAGGAAGCTGGAGTTTGCATTGAACATTACTCCCCTCTTCAGCAAACTTTGTTGAACCTATGTTATTCCCTATGCAATTAAATATTTAATGGTATGTCTTGCAACCTGTGGGGATTTTTAAGCAGAGACTTTTTTAGTGGGATAAAACCTCTAACAGGGGATTACTGAGTGAAAGTGAAATGAATTCAGACAAATTAGAAAGGTTTTTTTTTTAAAGAAAACGTCTTTTTTAAAATTATGTCAGTGGAGATTGATACAAAAACTCTCTAATGATCCATAAACCTATAAACTTGTACTGTCACACGAGCTTTTTTAAGTCAATCAGTTTCTTGAAGGAAGAAAGGTCCTATTTAATATGCTTTGTTTTCAGCCTTCTTTATGATAAACATTACCCCCTGCAACATATTTTTAGAATTTAAAATTGTAAATATATTTTACAAACACATCACACAAATTGTCTCCTCTCCCCTCTTCCCCCAAGCAATAAAATACTGCCAGTTGCTTTATACACTCACCAGCAGCTGCACTGGTTTATTCTGGTATTCAAGTTATTATTGATAATTATTGTTATTGGTGAATATAAAGATACTGGATTTGTACATTTGTAGAGTTTCCATATCTAAGCAATCACCTTTTACAGAGTTGTTTCTGGTCAATTTAAACTGTTTAATGTATCTCTGTTGCTGTTTCCAATTCATAAACAAGCTCACCTGCCCTGCACACACAAGTATCTCTGATTTCTATTTCAGCACTGCCAGAAAAGGTCAGAATGACACTCACGGCTGAATCATGTTAGAAAAAAAGAACAGAAAACAAAATCTCCAAGGTTCATGAGTCACTTCAATATGTATTTTTATTTGTAACAAATAAGTATTAAACTGTAAAGTATTTTTGTACAAATTTAATACTTTAATAGCATGGTATTTATCGTCTATGTTATGGGTTTTGAAATTAAAAATGTTGCAAATATTTGTATGGAAAAACTGTATAAATTGAAATAAACAGTGATTTAAAGACATTAAAAATGAGGTAGTTTTTTGACTTTATATTTTTCTCCTAGTTTTAGAAAAAATACCATTTTTATATTTGTGGTATATTTTTTCCTACCCTACATGAAAAGAAAAAATTGTTAAAGGTAAGCAGGTTGTCCACATTGTAGTACCATGTGTCCGATGTTTGATTTAACATTCAATTTATTAATCTCAAAACTTCAAAGCAGCAGGTCCCATAGTACACATGAGAAAGTTGAAAGTGGAATGTTATTTGAACTCTGATTTGAAGTTTTGCTTTTCTTACCAAGATCATCAACAGCATAGAACTATTAGCTAAAACAGCAATGGCAAGTTCTACATCATAGAAAATGTTTTCTATGTCACTGATTGCAATTTCCTTGTTATGTCTATAACAAGATTAAAATCCATAATCCTTCAAAGCTTCATGGCCACAAATCTGCCACATCAGAAAAACCTAGATCCCTTTATAAACTGTTTGTTTAACTCAAGGAAACTGTAGTTTTGGCACATCAGTAAGAGCACCTCATCAATACTGTCACATTCGGAGATGGATAAATCTTGGAGGTGGATAAATTACATAAACAGCTAGGACTCTGTAAATCAAAATACATCCTTGTGTATTTTTTATGGGAACATCTGGATCCTTGAAGACCTGCCAGTTCATTCTTCAGCAAAACAGATGAATTACATGGTTTTTAATGACCAGTACACTAATGAATCTACTAAAAATGGATCACTGAAAATGTAAGAGGCTCAGCATAAAACAAGCTGTTCTTCACAGAACATGCAAAACCAAGAAAGCCTTTGAAAAGCACCTGCATATTCAGCTTCTCCATCCCAAAAATCTTGAACAGGTTCAGTAACGGTTCATACCAGGACCAATTAATAATTGTCTGTTAGCTTTTGAAAAGCTTCCTAGGAATTTGTGCCAAAGTTAAATTCTTAAGTCTGGAAGATCCAAGTGGGGATTCTTCTACTGTTGTCTGTCAAAACAAAATAAAAATGTTACCCACCTTTGAAACAGACCTACAGTATATTAGCTTCTTCAAAAAACGCTCTTTCTCCATGAGCTCAGAAATTAGATGCAAAAAAAAAAAATCATCTGTTAGCAGGTTTGACTTTATAAAAATCAATTTCAATTATTAAATTTTATATACATTGCTCACAGCATGTCACCTAAAAATTACATTTGTGCACAAACCATAAGATGATACAGGCTAAGCTGGCCAACAGATCACTCTCAGAGTAAAAACATGTATATACTACTATTGACATTACATCTTTATTTTCTGTATTAGCCATATATTGCTCTGCAAAGACATCTCCCAAATTTGACTGGATCACCAATTACTGGTCAACTTGAAAATTATTAAATAAATTTTAATAAAAAACAATCGTAACAGTGCCCAGGCGACTTGTGGTGGTGAAAGAATGCAAAAGTTTATTTTAAACTTTTTCAGTAAGGCGATACTTACAGAGGTTATTTTTGTAGCATCCTCAGATGCAGGAACTTGTCTTTTACATGGACTTAGCTGCAAACTGCCCATCTGCTTTTCACTGAGAACTGATGACCCTTCCTTAATCATGAGGTCACTTTCAAGTTCAGGTGGGTCAGGAGCACCTTGAGTAACAGAAACAGACTGAGTCTCGAGCTCTTGACTTTGCCAGCACTTCATCAGGGGAGAGGACATTTGTTTGGGACAGCTGTTTGTTTCTGCAATTGCCTCTCTCAAAAATCTCTGCAAACGCGTTTTTCTGGTTATCTCCTTGCTCTTTACTGCTCTCCTGAGGTGCAGCTCCTCAGCCATGATGTAGACACGGCAGCGTCCCCTGGTCACGGCTGTGTACACATGCTGCCAGTGCTGCCGGCCGGCATTGCCAACCACGTAGACAACGGTCCTTTCCTCAGAGCCCTGAAACGTGGAAGAATGCTCGTTCAAAGGCTGATCTCCAGGAAACAGTTAAAGACAAGAATGAGAAAGTAGGAGGCAATTGGGGATGCTCTCGAGAATATTTTCTATCCTGCATTCAAGGAATTCTGGTTTCAAATAAGTTTCTGATTCTTTCATGAGAGAATACTGTCTATTAGCTCAGCTCACAGCTGCTGTGTGTTTTTACCTGGAATGTGTGAATAGTTCTGGCCCAGGCATGCTTTATGTGACACAGCTTCCTCAGTGCCTTGTAGTTCACAGTGAATGTGGAGCCGTACATGCTGCTGATGGTCAGCAAGCGCTGCTTATCAATTTCTGTATCCTAAAGGAATAGCACAACACTCAGCAGTGAGTCTGGATCAGCAGCTGGAGCAACATCTCTACTTCCCCATTCTAGCTTTCCCTGAAATTACAACATCAACCAGCTGAACGTTTTAGAAGACACTAAACCAAATAAATTGCCATCTTTCACTGACCACCTTCAAGGAAAACAGTTTTCACTGTTTAGGGCCTACCTTAACTACTGATACTTTCACTGCTCAACTCACTGAACCCAGCAAAAAAATCAGTTTTTTGTTGCTGTTACTTTTAGGCCAGCTTGGTTTTCTGCCAGGGAAAACTAAAGCTGTAACATTACTCTTTCCTTCAGACTATGTAAAACAATCTATTTCAATTACAATGCATTTGACTATTTACAGAATCTATTTACACTGAACACAATCAGACCAGCTGAAACACATTATACAAGAAAAGCCCAGAATTGAGGTTTTTTGAATTCTCTATCATACCTTGCCTCTTTCATGCCTTTTACACGGTTGTTTAGGAGAACCAAGTAGGTATTATGGGCTAAACTTAAAAAGTGTGAATTGTTTTGTTTTGGGGGACAAATCATTTCCCACCAGGTTTTCTTTGTGCAGGTTCGTGCAGCAAGGACTTACCCCAGTTATGAAAAACACATCTCCATTGCAGAGTCGTTTGCCCTCCTCATCAGCCTCTGCGGTGAATGCAATTTCTCCACTTCTGCATTCCTGGCCATTGGGACCCTCTCCGACACCACAGGCTGCCAAGACATCCTTGAGATATACATTGCGTGTGCTGGCAATCTTGTCCCCCATCTGAAATAGAAGTCGATTCTTGTGGTCTCTAGGTCAGAGAAAGAAAAAGGGGAAAGTGTATTTACAAAGCGTGCATTACCATGTGTCAGTATTTTTTCTCTTTTCACTCTCTATACTTGACCCAGATTAAAAACTTCAATAATATTCAAAATAGTTAGGGTAACACATTCGTGTCTTGAAGTTCTGTGAAACCATTTGGTAAAAATCAGTAATACAGAGTAGCACAAAAATATTTCAGAATCTATTTAGAAATCATATAGTAGTAAAAAAAATATAACCTTGAGGGCTCTTTTTCATGTTGCTTTTATATGGATTTTGAATATTCAATAGCAACTTAAAATCTCAGGATTCGCATAGTGAATTTACCACTATTCAAAATGAGATTAAAGAACCCATTAAATAAATTAAATAAATTAAATTAAATAAATTTTATTGTATGAATGATTTATAACCTAATCAGATCTAGATGAAACATTGGAAGTTTTACAATCTTATTTTACGGTGTTGGCCCAGCTATAACACTTTCAAAACCAAAATTAGATTGGTCACAGGAAAATGTGAACCACTGGCTTACCTGGTTAAATGATTTGAATAGTGTTGGCAACAAAGTTCATTTATTAGATCACAATCTTGCCTAAATCATACAAAAGAAGAACAAAATCATGATATACAAAACATACAATTTCAAGCAATATCACATCAGCATTAGTTTATAAAGAATGGAAAAAGCTCCTTTTCTCTCTATCTTCCACCACCTATTAAGAACAACTACTTATTCAGAGTTTAGAAGACAGTGCAGTAGAGGAACAGTTTTGTCTAAATACCACAGAAAGTTTTTGCACTGTACACCTAGATTAGCTAGATTTCTATTTAAGAAGAAAAGTAAAGAAAAACTAAAACCTGGACAGATTATTTTCTGTGTCTGGATATATTAAAAACAGCAAGAAGATTTGTTTGCTTTTTAAAGACCTGGAATCTAAATTTTTAAATGCAGCTTAAGTACTTATATTCTAGGAGAATCAGACACAAAAATCAGTAACAACAGTATTGCACCTGAATGCAGACTGGAGAAAAAAATTGGTATCAGAGTTACTCAGCACTCACAAATCACTTATTAGCTAGCTGGGAGCCTGTAAGTAGTGCGTGTTTTTTACTTACTAAGAAAAGGTTCTTCACAATTAAAGGTGCAGGAGTTTTTTTCCTAAGTAGCCTTTTGTGCAGAACTCAAGGTTATGGACTATTGGTTCTAGAGCATATTAGCCCTTTTATCCCTTTAGTGTGTACTATAGATGCTCCTGTGATTACTAACTCCCAATCTTTCTTCAAAGTGTGTTAGAGCCCTACATCCCACCCTTCTTAAGTGGTGAGTATTCCAAGTATCTAGTAGTTTTATGCTATTCCCACTAGTCTCTCCAACTCAACACATTCAGCTAGTTTTAGATTGTGGCTGCTAGCAAGGATTTTTTTCAAGGATTTTTGTCTGCCTGCACATTCCGTTACCTTCTGAAAGCAATGAATTGTGATTGTTTGGCATCCTCTAATCCTGGCCCTTTTTTAAGTAAAATCTTTATTGCAGTTTGTAAATCTGTTTTTAAAGACATAAAAGGTAAGACATAAAAATACCCAGAATTTAAAAAATAAAAATATAATTCAATATGAAATTGTCTTTGCTTATTTCTTGCTTTAATGGCATCTCAATTTGTTTAAAACAAAACAAAAAAGAAACAAAAACGCCCCTCAAAAACTCCCACACAAGATGACACACCCCCCAAAGAAACATAAATGCACCACAAAACACCCAAGAAAACATCATGCGGTTAATCCACTATTAAAATCTGAGAAACAACAGTATGAAAAGAAGCAAATTCTTATTTCTGTGTTAAACAACAGCTGCCTAGAGCATATTTCATGCAAAATAAAGTTTTGATACAGCACACTGAAGAGGTAAAAATAAAATATTTTCAAGCCACAGATCTATATACTTGGATTTCACAGAAGAAATGTACTTTCAGTATTCTGTTTGCTGAGTATTTTGCTACAGTAAGATAAGGTGATAATGTTTGTATTATTTTTTTTCCACATTGCCCTTGAAGCTTTTTGATGCATATAAAAGAGAGGCCACTCAATCCGCTTATACCCAATAAATGTCAAAAAACCCCAGTAAACAATGGCTCTAGACCTGATACCAAAACATTTTACAAGAAATACTGGCATCCCTTCTTAGAATTTTCCTAACTCAATTCTACAGCTGGGAGCACATTCCTGTCCAGCACACCATACTGTTACAGCCGATTTTTATTCAAATGATTCACCTCTGTATCAACACAGAAAATCTCTTAAGGTTTGACAGTTCCAGCTACAATACAAAAAGACAACCACATTCAATTACAGTGGTGGAAGCTGTCCCCCCCTTTTCAAAGTCTAACTGGTGAGCTGGAGCTCTACAGCCCATTCTTTGCACTTACAGGTCTTGCTGCGTGCACTTACAGTATGCAAAAGACAAACTATGAACGTAGCATTTAAATTTATACAACAAAACCAGACTAAAATCTTCCCAAAATTTTTGTTCCAGACAATAGTCTATGGTTTACCGAAGGGAAAATCAAAATCACAAACTGACTGTACACACATACTCTCACAATTCCCACCAGCAGGCAAAGCAATAAAAATAAATTTCTTCTCCGGGGTTGGCATTGTCATTTCCTCATTCCAAGCAGAAACTTTCAGCACCTCATCAAATTCAGGAAGCTGCCGGTGAGAGATTCTGGAGAGCGCATTGGAGGGAAACAGAAAAGTTATTTACAGTTAAAGAATTCCAGCATATCATCATCTGCATCAGCATGAAGTTCACCACTTACAAATTTTTTGTCATCTACACTACATGCCCTGAAAACTCTTTCCTCAGAGCACGACTTAATTTCACATTGAAAAAATTGGTAGTTTATTCTCTAAATCCTCCTTCACTGCAGCAGATATTTAGTATTACTCATATCATTCTTCCCATGGGAGCAAAATGCAATAAAACAGCAGTTTTATCAAAAAGTAAGTAAGAATGTTTGTAAAACATTTAGTAGTTCTGGGCATCTTAAAATGTTCAAAATATTCTAAAATTCAATTACCATCAAAACCTAGAATTTGTTCTTAGAGGTTTAAAAAAGAAATCAGGAACTGATAAGAAACAGGATTATTTCCAAAACAAAAGTAATGCAAATGCTGGAAACATTTAGACTCTTTAGGTATTTATACAGAAAAAAATAGAAAGAAACTGTGATATAATACCCCTTTACATCTAGACTCTCCAATCAATTCAGCCTGTTTTATTTGTTGTCACACTTGTCAGCAATGTCTTTAAAACTTCCTTTCTAGGGGAGCAATTGTAAGCCATTTTAGAAGGCATAAAGTCAGTTGTGCATTTACAATTCATTTGAAAACAACAAAGAGTATGTGATAGCATAATAGTGAAATACGTCCCATAAAATTCAGGTGCATTCCAGCACACGCACTTTTTTGTCCAAGACATTCTTCTGAAAAAATCTGGTTTTGTTCTTGTTTTGGGCGTTTGTTTGTTTTTAAAAAACAATGTTACGGATTTGGACTAAAAAAACTAACAGAAGCAGTACTAGAATCAAACCTGGATGCACTGCTATTTGCAGGTAAAAGGCCAGGCAAGAATGACAAGAATTCTTCACACACACATCAGGATATCCTACCTCGATGCATTATCTACAATTAGTTGAGATTCAGCTCTGTGGTTAGTTCGCAGTTCCACAGAAAAGCCTCTTGATTTTAGACCTTCAAAGATATCAGCTAACATGTTTCCTGGGTCTATGCTTGGTAGCTGTCTAGTATCACCTAAACAAAAGGCACGTTAGCTTTCCTGAGAAGGAATAACATATCATCTGTTGAAAATTGTCTTTAAAAGAAACAGCACTGGAATGAATAAATACTCAAGCCTCTAGATAGTACCATCCATCCTTAACACAATTCACATGAAATAAAACTTTTAAGAACGTAAGAAACTTTGGGAATAATGTTGTCGTGTAGTTTAAGTTTTTTTACACTCCAGTAATGCTTTACTAGCAAAAAAGTGCAAATCCCTCTGTTTGATGAGCACTGACAGTGATCACATCTTATTCAAACACACTTTGAAAGCTACATTTTTAAAAACAAATGACATAAATGGCATGTAAAAAAGGAAACCTCTAAGAAGGTATAAAAATTTGACTTTACATTTCTTTGCTTTCCCTTTTAAATTAAAACAAGATGATCCTAGCATTAAGAATGGCATGAAAACACCCTTCTAACATACGACTCATATGCTAACAATAGCTCCTTCAGATTTAAGGAAATCACAAGTTTCCCAGTTGCAAGATGTAATAACCTACCACGTGGAAGTCAGAATAAGACAAAACAGGTAATAGAGATACTGATACTTTCATGCTGACATTTGGAAAATTGTCTCTCACCTGACCTTAAGAAATAGCAGAAGTATCCAAGTACAGAACAATGTAACATTCTGAGGTTTTTAAGAGACTCAGAGGGAGCTCTGACACTTACATTGTACCTTGTGCATTATTAAACATTGTATAATACTGAATTTGCTGTTTCACTTACCTAGAATAATAAGTTTAGCAAGCTGAGCATGCTCACACAAGAGTTTTAAAACTAAACTAAGAATGTATACAGACACCAAACTTCCTTCATCCACAATGAGAACTGTAACTGCAGAAAACTTCCACGGCTGTGTTTGCTCACTCCATCTCCATGATTTAAAACTATAGATAATCTAGAAACAAATAAAAATAAAGCAAACTCTGACACTAATCAACTGTAAACTACATTATAAAAGTAAACACTGTGGTATCATCTAACGTAGGTAGAGCTATTATCTAAAATTCTGAGCTTACACCTGCAAAGACTCAGAAGACTCAATCAGTCTTATTTTCCTCATCAGTGAATACACTTCTAGCTGAGATTAATGACACTGACTTACATAAAAGCACAGTCTTTTTTTTCCTGAAGGAGTTGTTAAAGACACAAGGTCAGCCATTACATTGCTCAGTAACAGAACACCTCCTACTGCAACTTGCTGTCATTAGTAATACCCAAAATTGCAGGGGGAAGGGGAACAGGCAACTAACTATCCACTCCCTAAAGATAAAATAAGCCAACAGTACTTTTTATGTTATAATTTCTACTTATATGAGTTATTCCACAGCTCTAATGTCTTCTTGGCATCTTTTGCTACCTATAACTGCAACCAAACTTAGGCCTAAGTTTATTAACAAAGAGTTTGCTTTCTACTTTTTTCTAAAAAATATTCCATAATACCATTAGTTAATTAAGAACATTAACATTACCATTAACATCAATTAAGCAAACACTGTGCAAATGAAATTTCTCTCATTATTCAATCCCAAGCTATTGATCTTTTCATGTATGTGCTGCTATGATTGCTAGGCAACAGGATCCTAGAAAACAGCTCTACCATCTAGAAATTATTTTTGTCTGCATTAAAATAAAATGCAAAACTGAGAAGCTGAAAAAGCCAGATGCCCAGAAGTTTCAGATGTATATAAATAGAAAAGAAACCAAAGTTACCAAATAATGTATTTCAAATGACTGATTTATGATTCCCCAAAACATAACGCTGACAAGCTGTACCCAAGCACTAATAATGATAATGGGCTACACATTTCGTAAGGAGAAGTTCAATAACAAGCTTTTTTTTTTTCCAAAACAAGAATGACAGTGCCAAAAGGTGTTTCAGAACTTAAATAATAAAAAAAAAAACCAACAACAAAAAAAACCAAACAAGAAACAAATCACAAAACAAACCTTACCTGATGCAGTGTATATGCAGGAAGCTGCGTTTTTTCTCTCAAAAGACTTGCTGCCCTCCCTGTAGGTGCCGTGAATAGTACATTCAAAAATTTTTTTGCATACATATTCTCTGATTCCCAGTGGTGATCAAACGTATTCCATTCCTCAGATGCATCCAAGTCTTTTTCAAAGTCCTTAGAAGCAGCTTCCACTTCTATTTCCATCTGCTTTAAATGACGAAAAAGGCAGCTAACTATTGTACTCTTCCCACAGCCTCCTTTTCCACTTATGATTGTTACAGGATTAGAACAAATTTTTTTTACAGCAATCACTTGATCTTTGTCTACCTCTGCTTTACTCTGGATACCAGACACAGAGCCCACCTCCTTTTCAGGAAAGTGATTTTCACCATTATGATTGTCTGGAATATTTTCCTCCATTTCATGTGCCTGGGTAATATTTATTTTGTTATCTACTGTTTCTCTTGGTGACTCAGAAATGCTAAGTATCTTTTTCACATCCACGTCCAGTTTCCATGTGTCATTTGACAGAAGGTCACCTATACACATTGCAATATCTTTTTCAGATTTGTAAAGATGAGGCAGAAACACCATCTTTTTTTCCCTAATCACTACATTCTGATCTTTCAAAAATTCAAGAGACTGCCAAACATGCTCAATGGACATGTGTTTGGATACAAAACGAGCTAATTCATCTTGATCTTCATATGTGTGTCCCATTCGTCTACAGTGTGTCTTGAGTTGATCATACAGAATTAATGCATTCTTCTGCAAGTCAGGAATCTTCCAGAGGAGATGTTCACACTGACAGAAGGCAGCCCACGTTGCCTCACAGTGAGGAAGGTTCAATTCCTTATACATAATCTTCTCCCCAGAAAGAGTAAAAGCAAACAAAGATTTATTTCAGAAGATGTTAGCCTCTTGCTGAATAAAATTCCTCCTAGTAAATACAAATTTCAATTCAGAGGGTAGAAGTTTGCAAAAATGTATGTATTTTTCATAAAGCAAAATACTTAAAAGTAACCTGGAATAATTCCTTTTAGTCACCCTTCTGTATGAAACAGGAACTTTAAAAATAAAAAACCTGGCACAGAAATTGGGTATTAGGGAGAACTTGTGCACACCAAATTATACATTTTCATGTAAAGGTACATAAACTGTAGAAACAGAGCAGAGGAAAGCCATTGGCCAGAATACTGTACCCAATTCTGAACATGTTCGAAAAATATGCCACCGGTACAGACACTACCATGAAATAGTGAAAGATTGAGATGTGCAAAACAGATGAACTATTGAGAGCAAGAAAAATTAATTGCACTTGCTCAGTTGTAAGAGAAAAAGCTAAAGAGAGCCTTCAAGCAATAAAAAACTGCAGTGAGAATGCAGGTCCTTGAAGCGAGACAGCAACAAGTCCATATTGCATTAAAGAATGGTCAAACTGGACATCAGGGAAATCTTAAAGGAAATTATGTGAAACACTGGAATATACTGGCGACCCTTCTGAATCTCTGAAATTAGAGCTCTTAAAAACAAGTCAGAACATCCATCAGTAAAGCATTGGGGGCCTAAAGCAGAGGGAAAACCAACGACATTTGTGAACAACTAAAGCTGTAGCTCCCTTGTGAAGCACGGGACTGCTAAGGTGAGGTGCAGCAACAAAGCTCAAGGCAAGCGCAGCAAAGGAAAACAGGAAGGTAAGCAACCACTGCAAATTCCATTACAAAAACAAACTACATTACAAAAACAAACTACCGGACCAGATGACCTCCTACAGAGAAACTTACCAACCTTATTATGAAAGCATATTGTTCTATGTGTTAGGAACAGAAAGTCTCACCACTATAAAATTGAAGAGAACAGTTGAGGATTTTAAAATAGCTAACTTTTAGCCCAGATACCTCAAGCATTTAATTTTCTGTCCCTTGTAGAAAATACTAAACAAATGGTTGTAACAAAACCACTTTCCAAATCTTCTGAGATTAATTTATTCTAGACCAACTAGAAAAACAACACCTTTTGCTAAAGTTGAGTCCAGTACATCATCCATTTCCAAATGAACTACACTTAGCCCCTACAAATGCCCATTGAATCAAGTGAACCCAACTAAAGCAGCATTGTATTCTAATGCACCTCAAACACAGCAAACATCGTATTTTTACCGTACGTAACATTACTTACCCTGCTGAATCCCAGTTTCCATGGCTCATCCTTTAGTATCTCATTCAATTTTGTTACCATCTCATCAGTTACCTCCTCATCACCTGTATCAGCCTTTCTTTGCCAACACATCTTATCTAACAGACAGCAAAAGTGGCGTGGCAGAAGAATCGGCAAGAACTCCAGCATCCTCGGAAAAGCCAGAGCTCCCAATACCGCCTTTCCTGCAACTGCACACACCATAAACACAGGAAGTTTTATGCCATATACAAAGATTGCTGCAAAACAATTTATACCGACTCTGGCTTCATCCTTCAGCCTCCCCTATAGCCAAGACATCACAAATTTCTCTCTTTTTCTTACTTTTCATAACCCTTTTCAAAATTTTTTATGTCTGTTTTCCCTGAACTGCCTTTGGAAAAAACAGTGTAAACAGATGACATAAAACCAGCAACTAAATGTACTCACTTGGAAAATACATATCATGCACTTGGTTTAAACTGCATACTCAACAGCATTTTGTAGAAAGTCAGTTCAGACCTCACCACGCCTGCCTCTTACCTAGAAGTAATTTTCATACAAATGTACAGAAGAACCCTTCAAATTCAAAATAAGAAAAGAGGCTTCTAAATTTGTAGTAACAGATCAGTAGAGGAACTTACAAAAAAAGTGCTCTCCACTGGCTTTCTCAATGACCCCAAAATTAAGCTATTGCTTTCTCTGTTTACATTAGTCATGGGCTGAAATGAATAATGAAACTGATCTGCTCTATATTTTGTTTTAAAAAGTGATTTCAAAGGAAAGAAAAACAAATTTAAGAAGACAGACTTTCAGAAGCTTTATCTCTTGGAAATAAATAGGCTATTTTTAGTTAAGTGTTAAGGAAAATTTAAAACGCTAATTTTGCTCACTTAAGTACTTTTTCTGATCACTGTCTTGTCTCATAAAGACAAAAATAAAACCTTTTCCCTTTTACGCAAGTACTTAATTTACATGTAAATCATCAATATACACAATTTCCACACACAGAAAAATACTATGAGGGCTTGAAGAACATACTACTTGAGTACATAACAATTAATCACAACAAAAAAAAAATTTACAACACTAGCAGTAGCAACTGAGGTAGGGGAATGGTCTATATAGAGAAAGATTAAAGCTTAAAATGTAGCAAATTAATTTAAGATAGATACTAGAACAAAATCACCAACTACTAGAAGGATGAAGAGAGTACATAGGCATACTGTACAATCTTTTCTGTAATTAAAAAAAGAGAACAAAAATCCTGAAAGCCTACAGAACTCTGAACATTTTCTTCTCCTTACACATGAGATTCGAAGTAAAGTCAGTTTAAGTCCAGCAGAGGTTCTGAACTCTCCTGTTACATGTAATTTGACATCCAAAAGCGTCACCTCCATCATCTGACCTGACACTGCCCACTAAACCAGGTACTGGAAAACTTTGCTTGCTTACACGTAACAGTAGGTACACCCAACCTGTCTGTACAGTTGTGGAAACAGATCATCAGAGCAAAACAAGAGCTCTTAATGTCACACATCCTGACTTTCTCTGCATTCGTGTTTTGCTTCAGACCAGCTAAGTCTGGTCCCACAGACTGAATGCCTGTTATGGATCAGAGTACCTCAGGAATAGAAGTGGAACACGTCATTTGGGTTTCATCCAGCAGGGACACAGTCAGTACTTTCAGAGACTGCAGCACAGTGGGGACAAGGGGGCACACTCCTGATCCAATCTTTAACACTCAGGTAGTCATGCTCATGTAATCACACCAACATTGCCCAAAACAGCATCTTCAGAAGTCTGAACTATCTCCACGTGGACACACTCCAGTGCTTCCACACTCTGGTCCCAGCCATACCAATCTGCTGACAGGATTCAAACATACCTAGATAATCCATTTAGTGCAGCTGATTAGGACTAGGCTGAACTCCTTCACAGATCTCTGCACTACAGAGAAGCACCTATACCACATTTGAACATGTGCCAGCCCTAAAAAGCCATTGCCACTATGCTTAAGTGGTGCTGAACCCATTTTTCAATAAGTCTTCCCATAGCTGAATAAACTAGAGGAAGCATCAGTGTCTTCACATCATAGAATCACAGAAGCATAAAATGGTTTGGGATGGAAGTGACCTTAAAGATCAACTAGTTCCAAACCCCTGTCACTGGCAGGGACACCTTCCACTAGACCAGGTTGCTCAGAGCCTCATCCAGCCCAGCCTTAAGCACTTCCAGGGATGGAGTATCCCTAGCACAGACATTCTACTTAACCCACAGAATACAGCAAAGTCCTTCTGTATGCCTATCTTTAACTGATCAGTTGTCCTACTGTCTTGAAATACTTTAAAATAAAAGATTAATTTGAATATGCATTTCAAATGAATACATGTTCGTTTGAATGCAGCATATAAGAGAGAACTCCTCAGCTTATAAAACAATTAAAACAGCACAGGATACACCTACATGACTTTGAAACATAATAGAAGATGTCGTAATCCTTGGTATCTCTTTGGATCTTCCTTGGCGGTAGCTGTGAAACTTGGAACTGTTTTAGATTTTCTTCAAGATTGCTAAAACTCAGTACAGACTCCATAGGAAGCCAAGCAAAAAACTGTTCTTTCCAATTTTCCGGAACATCACATTCCTTAAGAAAGAGTGAAAATACTTGTCGGTTGTTTTCTTCTACATCAGTCTGCAGAAAATACGATGGATATCCTTGCACAAAGTACTTCGACCCCATTTTTTTAACTTTAACATTAACTTTCCACCAAGGATCAAGTAATGGAAAACGTCCAACTACTTCATACTCCTTTTTGGTGCTGCATTCCTGTATAATAACTGAAGTATTAAAAAGAAAAATCCAGTGTTAATTGACAGTCATAAAAATTAAAAGTTTGTGTTGATTAAAAGAGTTTTGTTGGTTCAGTGCTTTTTTTTGTCTTTTTTGTAAGTTGCAGTAGTAAAAGTAAAGAAGGGTTTTCATAAACTCCTGATGCCAGCCTCTCCACTAATATTTAAAACAAAAAAAAGAAACCAAACTCAGAAACAAGCACTAAAACTCCTTCTCTAAGGATGAGGAATCAATCTTGCCTATGAATTTATTAAACTAATTAAATACGTACTATTATGGATTACTATTTATTCCAACCCAAGTTTACAACTGAATTTTAAACAGGTTTATCACAAAATATTCTATCACAATGCCTGCATAACCTTCAGATACGTTTGTAGACCAAGTATTTCCCATGACTGAAACCACCAAAATTAGAGGGAATTAATATAATAAATTCTTAACATTTTTATGACCTGGTTTGCCTCCTCTTTGCCTTCAAAAAAATAACACACCATTCCCTGATCGACAACTGAGGACCAATTGCTATGATCAGAACAAAGTGGGCACCTATGTTTAGCAGGGCTCCTTCCTCACCAGGACAGCTCTTAGGTCTGCAATAACTTATTTATTTCTCCCTGGTCATTTGGCTCAGTTTAGCCATTTTAAAAACAACTTGCAGATAAAATACTTTTTAGGCAGAGGTTGTTCCAACTTCACCTACTTTTCTAAGCTCTAAGTAGAAAGTTGGAAACCATTAACATCAAGTACCAACACTCTCCTATGTAAAAAAAAAAAAAAAAAAAAATTGTGTAAAGTTAACTTGAATGGGAAAACCTTATATTTCCTTACTGTTGCAATTCTGTGCCCGTAGAAGAGCACAGATCACGCTTCCCTTCCACTACCCGTTCATCACCTTCGGTTCCCTGTCCCTTCGCCTGCGACCACTTCACACAAACGGCCGAGCAAGGCCCGTTCCCACGTGGGAAGTGCCGCGCTCGGGCGGACGGGCGAGCCAGGGCCCAGCCCCACCTCCCCCGCCGCCATTCCCACAACGCTGGGCCCCTCTCGCCTCCCGGCGCCCTGCGCGAAGCCCCGACGCCGTGCAGGGAGGGTACCACAGCCCGCCCCGGTCCGGCCTGGCCTAGCCCTCACCGGCGCGGCGCGGGGGCAGCGCGGCCGACAGCTCCCGCCCGGCGTCCGCCAGGAGCGCATCCTCCGCCAAGACCGGCTCCTCCTCGAAGTCCTCGTCGCTCTCCTCCTCGTCGCCCGCCGCCTCACAGCGCAGCGGCCGCAGGTACCCCCACAACTCTAGGGGCGCGCCCCGCTCCCCGCCGGACCGCGCCATGCCGCCCCCGACGGAAATCTCCCCGCCCCCGGGGAAGGGCGGGCCGGCGGGCGGGAGCGGCCCGGGGAGGTCGGGGTAGTCACGAGCCCCGAGTCAATTTTTTTATTTTTTAAATTTTTAACAATACTTTGGAACATATTCTCTGTCTTTACATGACCCCTATCACATAATCCGTCAGATCAAAACATCACACTTCCAGTATATCCGATTATACTCGGCAGCTGCCCCCAGAGTAATTTAATGTTACGTATTACTGGCAAATTGTTCTCCGGAAGGCCCTCATTGGAAATCACCCTTCCTTCCCTACACTGCAACTCTGCCAGTTTCTGCTTAGTTTTTGCTTTTGCTCAACTCCATTTCCTTGCCTTTTCTGAAACTTCATGACAGTTCATTGATGAAATACCAAGCCTTCTCATAATCAGTATTGATCTCTCACTGAAGTCCCCCAGAAATCTTGCTATCCAGTCAGGAAAGCAACCTGTTTTAAACTGATTTTCACTGGTTAGTAGTTAGCAGGATAATATTTGTATGCTGTTACATAGCTCTGCTTTTTAGTTGTATTTTTGCATGTTCACACCACTAGCAAGCATATGTTTTCATCAATGAATTAAGTTTTGTAAGATTTATTTTTTTAAAAAATCATTTTGCTGACCCTTATGTTTTGATTTGCCCTGTCTTTAGTTTTTTAATTATTTTCTTCCAATTTCTTCTTTGTTTTACTTTATACTGTCACACAGTACACTGGAAGTCACCGTGGATCTTGCTGCTGCTTCAGAGTACTGGCAAGCGGATTAAAGGAGATGCAAAAGCAGCAGGTGCTGGTGCAATATTGGTGGATTCTTCTGATTGAGATTAAATAACTAGGTGGTTTCGCACCCCAAAAGACCAAAGTGCAACATAGAAATGTCCCAAGTACTACACTAAATAGCATGCAGCGAATAATTTGCCCAGCTTCTGAGAAGCTGTCAGCAGCATAGACATACCTTTCAGAACAGTAGCATAGATTATTCATATGTGTGTTTAGAACAAGTGATGTATAATAAAAGAGATCAATATGCAACTATTACTTTTGGTCTAACCTAAAAGAGACAGAAATCTTTTCCAGATTGTTTCAGGCCTCCTTCCCATGCATGATCCAGGAGGCCTTCTACCCGCAGGACTACCCTACAAAGAATGTCCACCTCTTTCCCATCTTCCTCCTTACAAAATTAAAAGGCCTTCGGCTCTCTCACACAGAAGTGTGGGACTCTCCCTCTATCCTGATGTGGTTCTCTGCCGCTTCTCCATCTCTGGGAGTACCTACATTACTGTATCAAAGTAATACCTGTAACATGACAGAGATGTGTAAATACTGCTGTTACTGTTTTAAAACCCAGTTGCAAGTCTCATGCACACATAAGAATATTGAAATAGTTGTTTTCAGTTCTTATGTGATAAATACTGGGATTCTTTCTCCAGCTTTATTCACAGATAATGAAGCAACTGCTTTACATGGCAGGCTGAAAACACATGGCCTATAAAAAGGAGACATGAGAGGGGATGGAAACAGATGCTAATTTTAAAAACTTAAAGCATTAGCTTACTGATGTGTTTAATGGTGTTAGGCAGTCATACATCTGAATCAGTGCTTTAAGATACTTTTTTCATATGAAACATCATTTCACATTTAACTATGTATTTGTTCAAGTGAAACTGGATATCTGACTGCCCCAGTCTATTCTGAAAATTCAAATTTAATACTGTATTCAGCAAGGCTGACTGGAATTTCCTTGTCTTTCTACAATCCATACTACATATGCTGAATTTCTGTATGATGCCTTACATTTCCATTTCTCATTATCATCCAGTAGGATGCATCCTGGTTATGAATGGCTTTATGTGTGCTCAGTTTTATTAGGTAAGGCTTGATTTTCAAAAATATTACTATTTGCCGCTCATGTGAAGTCAGATTGGCTTTCTAGTGATAGGTGAGGATTAGATATTTTTTTTTAATATTTGAGACTAAATGTTTTGCTTCTTTCAGGAAAGGAAATGAAATCTTGAGATTTCAATGTGGATCAATTGGTTGAACTTCAGTCCCTTTCCCTGCACTTAATGTCATCCCATTCACTTTTATTGTTTTCACTTAATTTCAGAATCTTTTTCTTTTTTTTTCTTAAGCATTTAATTTCTTCAGTTTCTTCTCGCACCTCATTTCATCTCAGTACTTTTTGTTGTAGTCACTCCATTTTCAATTTTTTAAATTGCATTTTATTTTATCATATCTCCTTTCCAGATTATTTGTTACACTTTGTTCTCTGATTTCAAGACTTCATTTCCTTTCCTGTCACTAAGGTTTTAAATCGTACTTTGAAAAATACTTGGAAACCTTAGATAGCCTTTGGGAACGAGCTTATTCTCCATCATGTCTTGCTTCAAATACCACCCTAAAATTCAAGAACGTACAGTAAACAGAAACATGCTTTGATAGCCCTTTGATTTCATCTTCCAATGCACCATGATATCACTGTCATGATAATCCATTTTTCTTAATGTATAATCTGTCATGACACTAAAGAAGTTAGTGTTATTCTTCTGTCCATGGAGAAAAAAAACCTGTTTATAAATTTGAACGCAATATCAGTGCATTCAGTGAAAAAAATGCAAATCCCTGAAAAGCAAAGTCATGATGAACAATGAGAGATAATTTGCTGTCTCTCACTTCTTTGTGTCTTGTCCCACAATAGCAAATTTAATAAGAAATATGCCCATATAAATCTCCCTCTTTTACACAGGTGTGTGAAATCCTACTCTGAAAACAATTTTTAGAACATTCTGGCAGGTACCATTTATACTCTGAAGGGTTATATTTATGCCAGCCTCCAGATTTAAACTTGCTACATTTTTTAGTGTTTCCCCACACCAGACACCCTCTTTCACAGGATGACTAGCAGTTCATCTTCAAATCTGACTAGGACTGGGAGTAGGGGGGAGGGGATTCCCTAGTCTCAAATTTGCCTGCATATTCACTGCTTCCTCAATAGTGCTGGGATACATGACATTCCTGTCTGCTGAATCCAACAGTAAGCCTGAGTTTGCCATCTTGTAGCATCAACTGGAAGTCCTCAGAGGATGAAATTAGGTGATGTATCTAGCACAGCAGGAGGCAGGAGTAGCAGAAAAAGGGTTAAACTGCCATTCCTCGTGAGATGGAAAGGTTTAGGTTTTACACTGTGGTTTTTCAGGGTGTTATAGAGCAATCATATCCACAGAAATACTTCTCAGGAAGTGAAATTACAGACAACAACAATGCAGCCTAACTGCCTCTTGAGATATTATATTGAAATGCTGGACCAAAACTGCAATGAGCGGTCCATACTGCCAGCCATGAGCCTCCTGGTATACAAGGTCCACAAGTTGTCAGCTACCACCAGCATGACTTAATAGTGGAGCATGGTGATTTTTGAGATCTAGGGATCCCATAAAGACGTGTCAACATATGGAAGCTTTCAGAGGGTGGTGGCTAGTGAAAAGGGGCTGTAAAATGACTGCAGATTAATTGATATTTTCACTTACCAGTGTTTCTCATGTGAAATCTCTTCACTGCTGAGTGACATTTCTATAGATGAGGCAAAAAGTGGTAATTCCATTGACACTGCTTTTTCCCTAGACAATAAATTTCAGAAAATGTCAAACATGCCATAAATGAGATATATATGTCTCACAATCTTCATTACAAATCAGAATGGTAGAACTTGAGACATGTAAACGTTATATTTTTTTTAAAGTGAGAGTTTCTATAACAGCATCATATTGCAGCATGCTTAATTATAATCTAGAAGAGGGGTTTTCTGAAAACTTGATAGGTGTAAGGTAGAGCCCCCTGGTTAGGACAGATATAGTGATATAACTTGGAACTCCAGCACATTAGCAATAATGTTGAGCTCTGCTTAGAAAACATATTTGGCATTGTCACAGCTGTAGGAGTCAAGGCAGATTCTTTGCATTTAATTCAAAGCTTCAGAAGAAAACCAAGACAACCTTTTCATTCTTCTTTCCTCCTAAGCCCATGGAATGTTTGCAGCATCTGGCATGCATTTCCCTTTACAGAATGGTGATCTCATCGAAATGTGGGATCAGGGTCACTTTAGCTTAACCATACTGTTGCAGAGCATTTAAAAAAAATGGTTTACAAGTTATTACTTTCTGTCTGAGGGAGGAAAAAGCAAATCCAAGAGGGGAAAAAAGTCTGGATAAAATGGCTGCTGTTACAGACAACCCCTCCCCCAAAGTACTATTTGTATAATTAAATGTATGTGTACAAAGATTTCTGCTGGAATATATTACGTTCACCAGGCTTCATGTCATACTTGCGGGTTTGTATATCTCAGGAGAGAAATCCAGTACTGTTGTCTGATTCACCAGGAAGACATAAAGCCTCCCTTAACAGTGTTTTGCAGTAGGTAATACTTGAAGGTACTTTTTCTAAAATAGTCTGTATCTTGGTGGCTAATAGAAAAAATCTCCTGTTTATCCTAATGTGTTCCATTAATGAAAAGACTATGGAAAACAGAAACAACAACAAAACCAAAACCAAAACAAAAAACAAACAAACAAAAAAACCCCAAAAAACCAAAAAAACCCCCAAAGCAAAAAAAAAACCAAACAAAAAACCCCCCAACAAAACAACCAAATCCCCAGAAAATGAAAGACAGCCTTCTTAAGAAATGCCTGAAATTCTCCAGTTCTACTTATAAATTAAGGTATGGTTAACTTTAATGACCATGTGATAACATTTTGATTCACTTGTCCCTTCCTGCCCTCCCTCACCCCCTTCCGCAACATCATTTCATAATTAATGGTGTCGGGAAGAAATGAGTTGCATAAGTCTGCATTTTTGCAAGAGAATCCAAGACTTATTCTTTATGTTTATAACTTAGAGTGCTAAGCTACGTTGTTCTGTGATGGTGTAATCTCTACATTCCTGGTGAACCACACGCAAAAATCTTGTTAATAAACTC